ACGGGACATGTCTTTTTGTGATTGGTCCATTTTACTGAGCATATTATCTTGAAAGTTCATTAATGCTATAGAATACATCAGAATTTCCTAATACATTTTAAGGCTGAATAGTATATTGCATTGTATGTATACACATTTTGTTTATCCACTCATCTGTTGATGGACAATTGGGTTGAGTCCACATTTTGGTTACTGTGAACAATGCTGCTATGAATATGGGTGTACAAATAATCTCTTTAAAATATTTTTTTTTTTTAAAAAAAGAATGCAATTACCAGTTTGAGGTGGTAAAACTTTGGAATCTTCAGATGTTTTAGTTATAGGTGCAATCCATGGCTTTTCACTCGAAGCTACAGTAGTAAAAAGAAAGGGAATTTGCTGAAGTTTTTTTGAGGAGGACAAAGAAACAGAAATAGGTTGCTGGTATGGTTGACTATGAGAATCCTGCAATGAAAAGCACATACTCATTCTATCAAAAGCCATCGTCTATCAAGAAGAAATTACTGTGTTCCCATCCTGAGAGCATGTGATTGGTTAGTGACTAGTGTCATACTCTCAATGTTTCTGAGGACAGAAAACTAACTTAATGACCTCTATGGAATTAATAGAGTGATGATTGAATACTAAATTTTTAAAAAACACAATCAGACAAATATGTTTTTTGTTTGTTTGTGTTGTGTTACCAAATCAACCACTTGTCTGGTTAAGTTAATGGAATTTATCAGTTCACTGAGGTTGGCAGAGATAGGACCCAGTGAATGTAGCCTCCAGAATGAAGCAATCATCACCCACATCTTAACACCAGATTTCAGGTGCTGTTATTACCCAAGGCGCCCCCAGGTTTCTCAAAAGGGAAGGGTGTTTTTGCCTGAGGAAATTCTGGAAGTCTTTTCGGAGCTGTAAAGAAACACATAAGAAATGTTATGACTTGAGGTGCAAGTAACAGAAAAGATTTTACTAAAGCAATAAACAAACACAGACAGGCAAATTCTTCACATTAAGTAAGGGACTGTTAGTAGTATATTTTAATCCTGTGTTTCAACATTGGATGATATAACAAAGCTCCCTTTTCTATTTTTTTATAACCAGATACTAGATTTGAGGAATTTGAACTTTAATTTTGATTAAATTGGTTTTCTAATTTATTCAGCTATGTGTATGTGAGCTCATTTAGACTCACATCAAGTACCAAACACATCTGAACTAGAAAATGTCCATCTACTAGCATTTAAAAATAGAATTTTAGGGACCACATGGCTTTACAATTAAGCTCACTTCCACCAATAACTTTTTTTATATACTGCATTCAATAAAGAAATTAGAAGAATTCTAAACAGCTGAAGGATTTGTTACAGAGACTCTTTAGGACCCTAAATTATAATATTTTATAACATCTAAAAACGTGGTGTTGGGGAGCTTATTGTTTTATAAGCTAAGTGTTTCTTCTTTCCTGCGAGGAGATAAATTTAAATAAATTAGCCTAAGGACGACTTTCAAGCATGCATAAAATTTGCAAGGTAATAATAAGCTGTAGTATTTAAAAATTTTTACCTAGAGTGCTCAGTGGTAACTCAAACCTAGGTATTAGAATAGTTTGCGATCTTTCCGGGGTCTTTTCGCTGAGAACTAAAATAAAGAAGAATTCGGTTAGCAAATGTATGAACTGGGATTTGATGCTGTGACTTAACCATGGTCATGTGACGCGTGCTCACACAAAGTGTGCACCGGCAGCTGATGCCTTTCAAGGACACAGCTGCTTTCCCTGGAAAAGGTGGACATGGCTGTTCAAATCTGAAGGTGCACTTCCAAAGGGCCGTGGTGTGGCCTGGATGGTCAGCATCACAAGTACAGGACAAAATACATGCCGCTCCTTTTCTTCAGAAGAGAACCAGGCAAGTTAGAGCCTCTTGGGCCAAGAAGCAGCTAACAGGTGTGACATGAAATTCTTATTAGAAAGCATGACACTTTGGGGCATTCTCCTCTTTTTTAGTACACACAAGACTTGGAAAAGCCACTGAAAACGGAAAGCACAGACACAGTCAAGACTTCCAGGTTTCCCACACCTCTCCAAGCCTCCTGGGATAAAAGGCTGCAATCTGTTTCTCTGTACATCCTAGGAGACTGGTGAAAAGGGTGTGCAGCTAGCAGCTAGCGTCCAGCGCTGCCTCGAACATCATTCAACAGGATCAAGGCATGCAATGAACTCTTTAATGAAATTGGTCCAAGAAATAGGAAGATTAACTACTGTCAGAAAGGAGGTGAGAGATGAGGGGAAAGGTAAGGTATTGGGTTACTTTTCTTTTCAATGAGTGCTGGGAGGGTTTTGTTTGTTTTAGAAAAAAACCTCTTAGAATTACCCAGAGTTGTTTCTGAAATATCTAATGCACTAGACACAGTGGATTTAGTGGTGCCTGGAACTGAGTCAGGAGTCACTGGAAAGTAAAAAAGACAACTTTACAAATTAAGATGAAATTATGAAACAGCCGAAGACCCTAAGACATTGGTGCCCTTTAGAATTAATAACTGACACATAGCTCATTACTTTTCAAGTTACTTATGTGAAGGGCTCCAGGGCTTGCTTGCGCCACAGCCTGACCTGACATTGCTCCCAGCTTTTCCTTTCCAGGTTTGGTCCACTTCCCATGTGTTACAAAAAGCACTCTGAACTGACCTCCCTGAAAGCACTGATCAGGTTAATCATAACTTTTTACTCGTCTGCCTTTTTATTTCTCTTTACCTTCAGGGCTTAGCACAATGTCTGGGGTATAGTAAGCAAATGCATAATAAATGTTTATTAAATGAATTTATAAATGGGCAAATAAAACAATGATCCAGGGCAAAAGGGTTTATTGGGAACTATTACATTCTCTGATTTCTCTCTTTCAAACGGCAGTCAACCTGCGAAGGTTGGAACTGGGTTGAAATTATGATAAGGGTGCAAATGCTCAGCCACAAGGTGCTCTAATTGCTAGGTCAAAAGCAAAGACCACCTCAGCTAAATAGTTTTCAAGAAATAAGAACCAGGGTCACTGAGATCTGGAGTGAACTGGGAGCTAGACAATTCTAGAAGCTTTTCAGGGTTAAGGACTCGCGGTAACACAATAACACTGAATAGTAAGTTATGGTGTTTAAGTGTTTCTGAAGTGGGAAATTGTGAGGAAGATTTGGAAGAGAACTAAGAAATATATAGAGTCTTCCATGGGATAATGTGCCAAGAGAAGAAAGTATAATTGGGCAGAATCTTTGGGGCAGAAAAGAAGTTGGAGTCATCCACTGGGTCATGCCTATGTTTTTATTGGTATTGGACAATTATATTGAAATCAGAAAAGTACCTAGGAATTTCATTCAAATAGATTATTTCAGCTTCCTGAATAGCTTTTATGTCTGCCCCACCTGCCATGAAGGTGAGGGATGGAAGGTCCATCTCTCTCCTTTAGGCAGAACCACATACTTCTTGCTTTGTCAGAAATATCCCTATTTGAATTGGTTTCTTGAAATCACATTATTTCATTTTCCCACCAATGTTTAACTTCTCTGGACCAGTTATAAGTCTAAGAGTTTAGTACAAGGTAAATACCACTAATACTTCAACTTGTAGCAATTTTATGGATTAAAATTTTTACTTTAGGTTGGAATTACTTCGCTAAATGCGGATTCGGGGAAATTCTTGCCAGATGTTTGCTTCACTGAGTCCTAGATGAGGTGGTATTGCTCTGGCAAAACTCTGTAGTTCAGAGAATAATGTGTCCCCAGTGGACAGTTCATTCATAGAAGAAATGCTGAATGTTTGTTAGTAATGGCCGATAAACTGTGGGGAAAATGCACTCCACATTTATTCTTTAAAGAATTTTTACCAAACTATTACATATTATCTATATTGGGATTTTTAATCTTCCAAAGACATTGCTGCTAAATGACGTAGCTTGCAAGCTATGGATTTGTCAAGGTTAATGATGGCATTTTGCTCAAATGATCACTTGTGAAAGTGGAGAAATGAAAAATGGTCTCATGTCTTCACATAAAAGGAAAACACCAAAACCAGGCATTATGTTTTAGTATAGGATTATTTCACAATGTTGAGGTAATAACTTTCATGTAGAGTGAAAAATATAGTTTCCATAATACATATTAGTTATATGATACAGTAGTTCATTTTGCAGTTGTTGTTTTTCCAGACGTTAGAATAAGGACCTAGAATCACCTCACCTATCATTTTGTGCTAATGATCGAAATGAATTTTCTACTGGCTCTTCACTGGAAAAAAAGTACAGCCTTGTCAATCATTTACTATTAGAAAAATATTACTTATTGTAAGTGACCAATACAGGGATCTCATTACCTGTTATGGGCTGTGCTGGGATTTTTTCTACCTTTGGTGTTTTAGATTCAGCTGGTAATGCCAAGGTTTCATTCTTAGCTAAAAAAAAAAAAAAAAAAGTCAGAGAACAAACAGTTTACCTCACTTCCCTATAACACAGTGTCCAAATACAATTCATTCAAAACATAATCAAGTAACAGACTATTTCCAAAAATCTATTCTTCTTTTATCTCTTCCCACCAGGCAGTCAACAAATTTATTGTGAATTTCTACCAGGGATTAGCATGAATAGAATAGATGACAGTGTTCAGAATCCCTTTTTGTTATCCTTAGTAATTAAGATCTAAGTTGGCATTGGAATGAAGGAATAAATCACAACCCAACACTTGGATAACTCTCAAGTCATTCTTATTCATAGAGTTTCTGGAAGGCATATGTTGCATTGCAAATACTCACTGGAATTTTATATTGAAGTACTCCTAATTTAAAAAAATCAATGAATAGAAAATTTCCATTATTATGCATGGTAAAACATGCAATAGGTTCAGACACTGAAATTTTTAAAAAGCACAAGTAACACACTTGGGAAACTAACTTATTTGAAAATACTTGTGGCAAAAAAAAATACCAACAGTAATTTATTTGAGCCATGTGTTAACAAACACCTATTGTTTTGGTCACTGAGGGGATTCAGTGTAAAGATTAAAATAGATTTTTTTCCCTCTTCAGACAACTGTTCAGGAAACTTCCTTCTAAAATGTAGTTATTTTTTTTTCAAAGAAAGTACATTTCTATACCAGAGTTTCCCAATGATTAAGATATTCCCCATTTTAAAAATGCACCAAGGATTAACTTGAGTCAGCTATTTCACATACAAAATCAATAACCTACTTATATTATTTTGAAACAGTCTAGTGGCATAAAAAATTAATTAATCATTGAGATACCCTGATCATGTCACTTTGAACTGATCATAATTAGATGGGAGTTTGTAGAGTCCAAAGGTTGTACAGGAACTGCTTGGGTTCCTCAACTTTGGCACTATCGACATTTTGGGCTGGATAATTTTTTGGTGTGAGGCTTTCCTATGTTGCAGGATGTTGAGTAGCACCCCTGGCTTTTACCACTGGATTGTACTAGCATGTACATACATAGTGGTGGCAGCCAAAAATGTCTCCAGACATTGCCTAATTTCCGCGGGGATACAAAACTGCTCTCTGTTGAGAACAATTGATCTAACCTGTTCTCTCAAAGTTCTTTGAGGATGAAATTTTTAAGACTGCTGGGGGTCACATTCAGTTATAAAGCCACTTTCTTCTCTGGAAGCAGCTATTGTTGGTGAAGTTCTTGGCAATATGAAGAGTTCACGTTATAGCTTTCTGGTAAAAAGACTGAATTACTGTATTAAAGGAAAAAGACAATAGAAATTCCCAATATGTTTAGTAGCAGACAACTGCCTTTTTTAATCATATCTAGTGCCAGATGTCTCAGATCTAAACAAATACAGACATACCTATGAACATAAAGGTATATTGATACATA